AGAGATCGTTCACCAATGTGACCAATGCCGTTTCCGTGCTGTATCCCGGCCTGAAGCCCGACTGGAGCGGGTCTAGATAGACTGTTTCCTCCAGGTGTCGGGGGAACTGCTGCGCAACCACACTCTCAACAACCTTCGCCACAAAGCGAAGGTTGGAGACCGGACGATAGTTAGCTAATGCGTCTGGGTCCAGGGAAGGACCCAGACGCATTAGCTAACTATGAATGAAAAATGAAAAATGAAAAATATCTGACATATTTCATACATTTCAGATATCAAATATCAGCAATATTTCCTGTCATATTCATACCATCAATTCTGTTTTTCTTTCCACGATTATAGTCAAAAATGTTGTATATAATCAAAAACCTGGTATATTCACCTGATTTTCTTGCTTTCATAGCAAGAACAGCTGCCAGTTCTCTCTGCACCTAGCACATCAAAAAAAATGTGTTATAAATATACTGATAGAATACCTAAATTTATTTTATTTTATCATTTATGTTGTTTCATGGTTAAATACCAATGGAACTCCCACATTGTTTATCTGCTGCCTATACAAGAAACAGTAGTAGAATTTGCTCTTTCCAGTATCCTGAATTTAAGAATAGAATGGAGTTCATCTTCAAGCCCAATTATATTTATTGAAATGTATGCTCCATTGGATGCAATAAGAGCTGAACTATAGTATTAACTAAATAGTATTAGCTTCATGAAACAAGTATTTTAACTTCAACAAAGTTGTGACCAAGCTATAAATCTAAAAAAATAGGGTAAAATATGGGGAAAATATACAATTTTCATCACATTTGGCACACAGAGTTCCCTCATTTCATCAAATGTCTTCCCAAAAGTCTTTTCATTTCATCAAATGTTTTCTCATCAACAACCTTGATTAAGCCAGGATAAATAGAAGAGAGTCTCCAACATAAATTTCACAAATAAACAACTCAAACTGGCCCAACTTGTGAAGAAATTTAAAAGCCTAAAGATACAGGATTGTAATGTTTTTATATATACCCTTTTAGCAGTTTCCTGACCTCTTAGTATCGTCCATTGCCTTATGTACAACGTTTACATATTATTTTTAACTAACTGAAATAAACTGTCTTTGACCAAAAGTGCAACCTTTGCAGTTATTTCCTGCTCTTGAACTAACTTGGCATTATTCAACACAGCTGTTCTCATTCAACAGTTCCTCGCCCTTCTATTGTTTGGAGAGAACATGCATTTCCTTTATTTACAGGTTTCAGTCTGACTCATCAAGAAATAAGTACTTAGAAAAAAGGACTTTTAAATGGCAAAAGAAAGAAGTGAAAAGATCAACTTGAAGAGCCACTTCACTCACACACTATTAGTTATTCATTAAACCTTTATTTTAGTTTATGCAGTTACAATTCAATTAATATTTTACATTTAGATTATTATTGGTTAACAGTGTTTAACTTAGCAAATGACTCAGTGCTTTTGGTAAGCTCAGTCTATTGATTCCATATATGAGAAGTCTAAACAAACAAATGCATTTTTTTTACTTTATTTATATATTACCTATTCCCTGAAGACTCTGGGCAGCTTCCAATCAAAAATACCACCAAGCAAAAGCCGTCCTCAAAAACAAATAATAAACTCACAATAATAAACTCACCCATAAAATAAACTAAATACAGTATCAAAAAATATAGTAAAAGAAAAGTGAACAAAAATACAAGTCCGGCCATTTGTATGTTCAAACACAGCATGTACTTTGGATAGAATAATCATGTCTTAACTGCCTTTCTAAACCCTGAAAGAGGAGCAACTTAAAAGAAGGGAAGGAGAAGAGTATGGGGCTAGCCCAGTGGTGGGATTCAGCCGGTTCGCACCACTTCGGCAGAACCGGTAGATAATTTTTTGTTGCCAAGGCCCAGAATGGACTTCCAGAAGTGGCATCCACACAGAAAACTGGTTGTTCACATATTTGAATCCCACCACTGGGCTAGCCATACCCTCTGCAACTTCAAGTAGCTGAGCTTCTCAGTTACAGCAACCAAGGAGTTGTAATGGGCCCATGAGAAGGGAGTTACTGCAATAGGTCAAGCACCTTAGCTGTCCCTTTAATTAATGATTATGGTCTCCTCCAAACTGCTCATCAGAATCTCAGGCCCAAAGCACCTTCTGAAAAACCAGTAATTCTTTAAGTATCTGGGATAGACTGATCTAACAGATCCTTCCTCACAGCAGAGGAAGTTGTACATTAAATTCCATAGCCATTTGTGTGTGAACTATCCATGATAAGGAGCCAAATTCAATGCCCCGTCACATATGTAAGCGGCATCAGACTCTTAGTTGTCTGGCCCACTCCAGACTCCCCACCAGGGAAGCTTGGTTAATGTGTCCCAATATCCCCAGTCTGGGAAACAAGAACATCGCCTCAGCAATTAGGTCAAACAGCCTTGAGAGAGTCATACGGATCACAACTACTACCCCTCTACTGTATTTGGGGACCTCAGTTTATGCTAAACCTAAAACCCCAGGAGCAGACTTCCTAGAGATACTGTCTTGTCCTCTAGGTTTTTGTAATATAAAGCAGAGGTAGCCTCCTATCCACAATTAAATGGTGGATGAGAGGTTTTTTTCAATAGCAACAGTAGGTAGGAGAAAAGCAGGCAAGTTAGGGGGCAGAATTAAGTATGTCATCAGCTTAGAGTTGTTACATTCTCATAAACAGTCCAAGTCCAATCCTTCCTGAATTCTGTTGACCCTTATCTAGCATCATTTTAGCACTGATCTTTACTTGACTGGATTCTTGTGTATAGCTTGAACAAATTTTCTGTGTCACTACTTAATGAATGATTCTGATCCTTTGCAGCTGACAAGGCCAGAATCCTAGTTCTTGTGAAGAAGACTAAGAACCTGAGGGAGAGGATTAGTAAAAGCTATCAAACCCTTCTTCTCCAAGGGTAGCCTGCTCCCAGTGTTCCATTATACTTCTTATTGTCAACTATAAACTCATTTCACAAAAGCCCATCCTTGGTTGCATCATCCCCTACAACCCAAAAATATCTGCCATCTAGTACCTGGACCAAATCAGTCAAAATATTTCCAGAATTTGAAGCCCCTCAATCAGCCCACTAACCCCACTTCCACCTACTCCCCCATGCTCTTCTCATTCAAGATTCAAAGTTTTAAATGACATTGGGAATCCTAATATCACCCAGATATAACTATATCTGGACCACTATGTTGTCCTCCAGATTTTGTTGAACTTTAGTTTCAATCTGCTTTTACAATCATAGCAAAATGTGAAGAATTATGGAACTTGAAACCCTACAGTACCTGAGGGACCAATTAACCGGTTTCTGATTTATAAATTAGTATGTTGTATGGAGAAGAGTTAAGAAAAATAAGTGCCGGGGCAGCATGATCACCTCCTTTTCTCTAACATTCCTTTTCACCCAAATCAACAATAACTGTTTTCACAATAACCTAGGCTGATGTGAAAGCAGTTCCCTAATTTTATTCAATGTACTGATTAGTGTAATGCAATGTTTTTCAGACTCAGCAACTTTAAGATGTTTACACTTCAATTCCCAGAATTCTCCAACCAGGATACTGACTGAAAAATTTTGGAAGCTGAATCCACATATCTTAAAGTTGCCGAGCTTATAAACTACTGCTCTATTGGAGCAATCTCTGGTCCATTCAGTTCTGCAGTATTTAATCTTTTTGCCTAATTCCGGCATAAATATCCACAACAGGAATAGGCAATGAGCTGTTCTCCAGATCTTTGAGCCTAGATGTCTCCAGATCTCTGATAAGTGCTCATTATATTGCCTACTTTGCTTCTATCTATTCCAAATATAATGGTTTCTTCTGCATAATTACTAAATAATTTATTCTTTAGTTTTAGAATGCAATGTCAGTTTATGCCCTTACCTTTCATGAAGAAAAGTTCATCCTCAATTGGTTCAATTTTATTTTAAAATATTTATATCCAGCTTTTCCTTCATATTAGGACTAAAATATAAATTTAAAAAAGGCAGCATTGAAGTTTTATTTTTTAAAAAATAAAAGAGTGGCAAGATAAGCATTAATGGGCAAAGTTGGCAGAACTATCTCTTTAATTAAAATTACAAAATAAAGTGTTTCTCTGATGCATTAAGGGAAAAAGTCTGCAATACTTCAGTTCTATTAACAAGGCATTACTGGCAGATCTAGCAATAAAAATAAACAATTCAGTCTACATCGGGGGGGGGCAAACTCAATTTCACTGAGGGCCGCATCAGCATTGCGATTGTCCTGGGGGGGCGAGTGGGTGTGGCCAGAGTGGGTGCAGCCTACTGGGTGGGCGTGGATGGAGTGAGTGTGGCCTACTGGGTGGGCGTGGCCAGTTCTACATCATTCGCGTCAAGGGTGCCTATGGGGGCCTGAAGGAGGAGTGGGACAGATCTGAGAGTCTCTGGCAGAAGGGGGTGGGACCGGGGCAAGTGCCAAGGCATGGTCCACTGGGGCAAGTGCCAAGATGGCCACCACAAAATTGTACATTGGCTCCCGGCTGGCCTGGGCCAGGGCCAAGGCAGCGGGGGCCGTTCCCTCACTGTTTCCAGGATGGCTTCGCGGGCCACATGAAACCACTTCGCGGGCCGCATCCAGCCCCCAGGCGTTGTGTTTGACACGTCTGGTCTACAGGCTAAGCAAAAAAAAGTGTATTTCAAAGCTATCTGAAATCAAAGATTTCAAGATAATTATAAGCACGTTTAAAAATAAACACTACAATTTCCATCAGCACCAGCATGACTGATCAGCTATCAGGGTAATCCAAAAGAGCAGGAAGACATAAGGGTGAAAGCAATTTTATTCATGAAAGTTAAGCACATTATCTTGTGGTAGGCAGAAGCACACGGTTTCTAATGCTGCCAACTGATGAATAGAAAAAAATGATATCTCTTTTAAACAATTTTTTTTAAAATGGCTCATTTTTGCAAGATACGTAGCTCAGGATATTTCTTTGCTCTTGCTATTGAGATTTTGCTTATAGATGCCCTTAACTGTTAAATGGAGTTTGCATGAAACAAGTGCTGAATTATTAATCTTGATTTAAACAAACAGTACAGCAGAAATCCTGGCCCATAGTGTCATTTTCAGATGTCTTGGTCTAATGCTTGGTATTAATGCTTATTTTCCCATGGATGATAAGAGTTTAATGTCTGGTCTTCCTGCACACTCTTCTGGAGAAAGCTGAACAAAGTGTCCTCAAATGAAGATATTTTATGAATTTAGGATCTTAAAGTCAGAATTGGCAAAGATGTTCCAGATGTAATAGGCTAATGCAGACCAGTCCAGACAACAAGTTGCATGTGCCCAGTTCCTCTTTAACTGGCTTGAATTCAGTGGGATCTCTGAGAAAAATCTTTCTCATCAATGCCTTAAATATTCTAAAGAAGCTACATGTATTTCACATTCTATTATTTAAAAATATTGCCCAACTTCAGTAATATCTCTTACTGTTCAAAGACATGTCTCTGAAAACGTTTCAAAACTTCTCCCATTAATAGCTTGCTGATAACTTTATTAGAAATAGATCAAAATCAAAATACTCCCATGTTTTTTAATACAGCACTCTTGCTTCGCATATTAGCTACACTTACCTTAATTTTGAATTTCTTTATTTTAATAACTAGCTCTGTTCTACAAGTAATATTAATTACTATTGCTCATGCCTTTTCCACTGCTAATCAGTAGTGGAGAATTTACAGTCCAGATACAAACACAAGAAACATAATGTTTATGTAATTAATTAAAATCATCCCACAAATTAATATTTAAGAAAGGCTTACTGCTGCTGTAAGACGAACAAGAATTTCTGCATTGGTTTCAGCTGTTTCTTCTATTCTTCTGTTATCCCTTTTGAAACAAAAAGCAAATAAAAGCTAATGGTACATCTAAGGTGTAAGACTGATTCGAATGCATAGGGAAACAGGGAATTAGACTATTATGACTAAGACATAATGCCTAGGTTTGCCGATGTAATATCTCTGCTGTGCAAACTGCACTGGCTCTCACTTTTCTTTCAGGTACAATTCAAGGTCATAGTTATCATCTTTAAAATCCTACACAGGATCAGGTTATCTGCAAGAACGCTTCTTCCTAAGGACATCTATCCATTCCATCAGATCAGATAGGTGGGCACATTCCTAATCTCTTTCCTTAAACATTAACATGTTATGGACTCTAGGAAGTGTGCCTTTTTCATAGCAGCCTCTGCTCCATGTAATACACTTTCTTTTGAAGTTTGGCAGGCCTTTACCCTCCTAGCCTTCCAGAAAGCTCTGAAGACCTGGCTTTTCCCATAGGTGCTGGTATGAGGTGTGGTTGATGAGATGATTTATGAGGAACTGTATATTGAAAGTTAACTTTAGTACCTTTAGTTTTTTTTAATGTTTATGGTTTTAATATATTTATATATTATATTATTTTGTTATTGGTGTTTAACTGCTGATTGGGAACTGCCCAGAGCTTGATATAAGATAGGTGCCTATATAAATCTTTCAACTAAATAATATAAATGATTAAAATGTTCCTAACATTACTATAACCGAATGCCTTTATTTTTTTTTATCAAATATGCTTATATTAAGAAAATATAATATTCTAGATTTGTTATTAAGTTTCCTGGAATGGCATAACTGAACAGCAACTTTAAGAATGGCACCCCAAGGAAATAAACTCTTCGGTTTAATAACAAGGAAGAAGAAATAAAGTTATGAACCTCAATTATTAGGTTCTTGTGACCAACAGATGGAATCAAGAAAGCCATTGATTTTGCCTCCAGTGGGTACATGATATAAAGTACAAGAAACCCAGCAGATCACTGAATCTGATGTTTTAATTTCAGTTTCTCCTATCAGTAAGTTTTTTAATGATTTTTTTCCCAATCTCATGTTCTCTTGTCCTCTCTCTTTTGCAATTACCCACTGATTATTTTAATGGTCCTGCTTTTTAATTTGTCACTATTTCAAAGTTGAATAATGTGATAAAGCTCACATATTGTCCTAACTCATAGATTCTTCAATCAAAATGATTAAATAACCACAATAATACAGATTTATATTATGGTGATGATAATTGAGGTCACAAATCAAATTAAGCCAAAACTAAATAGCCTTGATTATGACATTAGTGCTATCTGTATACCTAATGTCATCTTGGGTTTGATGTCTTTTGCCTATCACTTAATGCAGGGGTGTCAAACGTCGCGAGTTTGACATGTCTGACTTAATGCAAAACTAACTCCTAATTGAGACAGAGATAATAACCTTTTAGTTTAACTAAAATTGTTTAAAAATGAGGAAAAATACAACATGCATGCTTTTTAGATACTGTGATATACTTGATTAAAAAGACACATAAGTAGCAGTGGGCTTTATAAAATGTAGAAAGTAGAAAGTAAAACAATAGGTTTATTTCTATTCAAAAGCAGTATCATGTTCATATATAATGGTAAGTGTTTTAATACTTTGATTCCTATATAATGATAAATCATAAGAAAAAATACTCTTTTTAATATAATGATTTAGGTTTATTTTTATATACTCATTTTTACAATGGTAATTATATTGGTACTTATATGTAATATTTTACACTGATTTAGCTTTTTTTTAAAAATTAATTGCAATATTTTGAAATTTTATTAAAATGTTTGAAAAGTAAGGTAAATCATAATAAACAGACTCATAACATGCTGTAAAACCAAAGCATTTAATGTTTATGTGAAGCAAGTCAGTCAGTAACTAACGGAAATATACTTACAGGTTACACATATTAATTCTTGGAGAAGTAACAGGCACCATCTTCAATAGAAATTTCACACCATTTTTCCATCTTTTTTCTCCTTCGTATTCACAGAACAGGTATGTGCATTCATCAGATGAGAACTGGTAGAAAACATACCTATCTAGAAAATATATCTGCTTACCCACTGTTTAAAGAAAAGAATATATATATATATATTATATATTTTTAAAAGAAATGGCTCTTACCTAATTGTCACAAGCCAAATACATACATGCAACTTTAGTCTATAATTCATCAAATAAAAGCATTTGGCAATCTGTGTATAAACGTGAAAAACAGAGTAAGGGGAATATTTCTATGGCCAAACCTCCTCCCTAAGAATTCCAGTGCTATAGACTAGATAGAAGGTTAGAAAACAAAGATTCTGAAAATGGCATAGAACAAAGGGAAACAACACTTCCATACTACTGCAAGACAAATAACATGAGTGTGTTTACATCATGTTTCTCAACCTCAACAACCTCCAGCATGCTGCCTATAGAATTCTGGCTGTTGAAGTTCACACATTTTAAAATGGCTAAGGTTCAGAAACACTGGTCAATTTGAAGAAGATGGCAAAGACCAATACATATATGGCAACCAATTATTTCTTCACAAGTTCTTGTGTAGGTAGAAGATCAGTGCAGTTTTCCCCAAATAGCATCTAGATATATTAGATTACAACCCCCATAATTCTCAGCCAGCATTATGAGAACTGATCCATAGGGAAGAAACAGGATAGAAAAAAGTTACTGCACTAGCAGCACATGGTTAAAGTCTACAATCTGTGGACAGTAGAATTTCTAGTCCTTCATCAGTAGCTTCCCATCTCTATTCTCTAAGTTTTAGGACAGAATGTTATAGATCAGTAATAATTCTCTCTAATCAAACCACCATAAACCATTTTTCTACCAGGTGTCATAACTCATCAATCTCAGCCAACCATTTGACTATTTATCACAGAATCAATGAGTTATGCTTCCTTAACAAAACATTTCATTTTCTGAAAAACTCTTTCATGAGTGCTTGTTGGTCTAATGATAAACTACCTATAAAGGCTGGTTCTGTTCATTACTAGATGCTAGTTAGGAATAACATTATTAAAAAGCACCTGTTCAACAAACAAAGCAATGCTAACTACACAAACTATTCTCACCGCACACACTGAAATGAAATGGTTCCATTTTATATTTCAGAACTTCTTCACCGAGAGGAAAAAATAAACTGCATGCATATGTAGACATGCATATTCTGAGCACACAGCTGGAAAAATATGGTTGTAACAAGCTATTACTGAAAAGTGGCTGTACTTTAGCATGGTTTGAATGAAATAAGAAACTCATACAACAAATATGCTGATGGATGAATTTGCATTAATCATACTTCTATTCAAGCCCTACGTTGCAAAAACTTATCACTTAAGATATCTTAAGTGCTTTTCAAGAGTCATTCAGTAAAGATTCAAAGCCTTACAGAGTACAGTAAGCACAGTACTCCATAAAAAAATGAAACATTACATTAAGCAAGTCATACTGAGCTATCTGAAGAAAAGGTAAACATCATAGCAAGAATCAATGTAAAAAGATCTAGCAGAGAGATGAAGAAAAGGTTTGGTCATAAATAAAGAAGATGGATGGAGAGGCCAGACATATCAATGACTTATATGTGGATGGGTCCATGATAAATGTGGTAAAACATGAAAAAGGTGAACACAGATATATATCAAAGCAATATATTTATTAATGTATGTGTGGACATGCATGCCACCTTTTAATACAAGAAGATAGCCCTTTTGTACTATCAAAAAATATCTTTAAAAAAATGACTGAAGAATAAGAAGAAATAAATAGAAAAAGGAATGCATATTCAGTCAAAAAATTATTTTCAAATACCATAAGCATACAGTGAATCTGCTATCTAGATTTTAGAAATTTAATGGAACAATGTCCAGAAAAAAATGATAAAAATAACCAAGTGATGTATATTATGAAAACTGATATGTACTTTCACGGGCATAAATATCTAGCAAATATATCATTGTAATTATTCAGAATATGAAAGATCCAAATGCATGATAAAGGGAGATTATTTTCAAAATAATACTCTTTTTTCTAATTTCTTTTCTATATATTGTAAATCTAATGCTCCAATAAAGATGAAAACAAGAGAAATTGAATGTTTTACACAAGAGGTTGGACTTGCTACTGTAAAACTGACCTGTAAACACAATTCCCATATTTAGTAGTAGCTGCCAGACACCAGCTGCTGTAGATCTGCTCCTAATGAAAGTGCAGCATTTCAAAAGCCAATCTACCAGTTCAGATCCAATGCAGCTTTGCCTAACAAAATAAAGATCAAAGTTGTAATCCTGAGGCATTTACAAGAGAATATGTTCGGTGTTCATGTCAGGCTTACTTTTGAATAAACATATATTGTACTTTGATTCATACTATGATGAAATACATTTCCCTAAACTGAAATACAGCATATATTTAAGGTTAAATCCTGGTGACACAAATGATGAACATGCTACTATGCAAATAATCTTTTATATCTAACTTTGCACTCCAAAGACTGGTTACATTACAACAGGTGCCATGAAGTTTACATATTCAGAAGTAGCTATCAAAACAGCCATCTAAACCACTGTGTGCCTGCCATGAGTCACTTCCACTGGAATAGCTGGTGAATTAAAATCTGTCTAGAAAATACTGAGAGCCTTGATGTGCTGAATTTTCTAGGAACAAATCCCACTCTAAACTTTTTGCACAGGCCTAATAGTTACAGCACTCCAGCTGTACCTATTGTTCTCCTTACAAAGACCCAAAAAGAGATGGCTTTGAGATTAATTTAGTTCATATATGAACACCACAAATCCTTTAGCCTCAATTTTTGCTTTGTTTTTCATAATTTATATAACCATATAAGAGCCCTTCAGGGTATTCTAGTCCAGTACTTTCTCAGAGCTGGATAGTTGAAAGTGCCAAAAGAAAAATGTGTCTAATCTGGGGGGTTTCAAACTGTAGATCATGACTCAAAGCTTGAAGCAAAGTCTGACATAGCTTCAGCTCTGCCTTCAGACATCTCATGGACCATTCCCTCCTTTCTACATTGTCCAGAATGTCTATTAGCCCAAATTCACAAGGTTCATCAGATGTTGTGTGCTATGAACTTGGAATCACCAAACAAGATTCCATAAAAAAGTCAAGGCCCTTCTGGCTATTTCTCATTGCCTTTTGTGTCTGCAGTTATAGGGGGATGTGAAGAAAACAAAATTTCCACACGACCCAGGCAGCAAATACGTTTGGCAACAGAATTGAAAGTGCCTGCTCCAAACAGGAACACCTGCTGCAATAAATTAGAAGAGGGAAGGTACTTCCTACGTTAGCCCAGTGGTGTAAAATTTACTCTGAGTGATTGGTTTCCTTGATTTAGCACTCAAATAAAAGATGAAATGAGTCTACTTAGTGCAAATAAGCTTTTGCTGACTGTTCACCTATTTATTTGATCAACTAAACTGGTTTGTTCTCTTTTCTATGCATATACACTACACATACATACTAGACACTAACTCACAAATACTATGCTGTATTAAGGAAAGAAAAATCCGGATAAAAATCACTAAATAGTAGCAAGATATCAGGCTTCTGTATCTCTTTCTAGTGATTGCCCACACTTTTATTGCCAGATCTAATTTACTTCAGCTATTTAGCAACATGCAGTCTCAGTAATCAGGCAGATATGTTAAGAAGAAACCTGGTAGTGTTTACTGTTGTCACAGAAACCCTGGTTGGCGTCAATCCCAGTTTGTTTGTTTGTTTCCTGCTGCATTTTACTTTGAGCATTTAATAAGGCCCTTAGTTAGCTGTGAAACCACTCAGTTTTGGGGGGAGGCCAGCAGCATCTGAGTGATCCTTCTTCCTTTGAAACCACCCCTAGTTTCTTGGAAAAGAGTAATACCAAAAATATCCTTAAAAGAGCAACTAAAACAGCATTTGGGGATAATTATTTGAGCCACTGTAACAGTCAGAACTTGTTCTTATTCCGCCTGGACAGGACAACAGCTGGAAAGTTCTGACAAGAATCTGCTTTTGCCTGTGCAAGCTTCGTGGCTTTCACACTCACTTTTGAATTACTACCAAAATTAGTTCCTGCATCCCCCTATAGCTTGTCTGTCTAACCTAAGACTTAAAGAAGTTTTGGCAAGGCTCCAACTTTGGGTGCATAAGCAGCATATGAAATACAAAGCTGGAACATTGCCAGAATTTGTTCTCACGAGCCAGCAAAAAAATCAGAATTTTCTACAGTTGCTGGAATAAAGTGCTAACAGTGATCCAATAAAAATGTATAATCAAAATGAGACTGAACCTTTCAAAAATAAAATGCAGATTTCAAAATTATGCAAAAGTGATCAAGTTTATCATTCTCATTGAAAATATGTTTCTATTGAAGTATTGTTTCCAATAGATTATTTTATAACATTAAAAGGCTCTATTATTACTTTAACACACAGATTAACATTAAATTATTAAAAATATATATATTTTCTATTTTTGATTGAAATCTTTATTTTTATTGGGAAGGAGAAAAGAAAAAATGATACTTGTGTTCTACTTGCGTTTCCCATAGTAAATGATTTTCTACATTAAAAATGGCTTAAATATGTTTTAATCAATTAAAAATGGCGTACGTATTTTAATTAGTTTAATTAATTAAACCAAATAGAGATGGATAGGTTCTTTCTTAAACTAATATGACTTCATAACTAAGCTCTAAAAATTTATATGAAAACTAAATTAACAGAATTGGAAATGACCCTAGAGGTCTTCTAGTCCAACCCCTCCTTAAGCAGGAAGTTGCAGCCTAGTGATACAGAAAAGACTAATTCTTTGCTTCCAAAGATATTACATTATATGCTTTTAATGATGGAGTAGTGCACTTAAAAACACATTAAAGATCTGGAAATCCAGCATGATAGGGCTACTTTTCCCAAAAATATTTATTTCAGCCAGCTCCCTTTTTAAAGCAGTGACATATTTATATCAAATAACAGTCCCCAAAATCCAACTACAGCAATTTTAGCATACAGCACACTTCCCACAGCAGTTTTGGTGGGTCGATACAAAAAAATACCATATGAGCTAAGATTGGCCCCTCTGGACATTGAAACTATAGCTCATGTCCTCCTATATTGCATCTTCTATAACAGACATGTCAAACTCGCAATGTCACGTGATGTCGCACAGTGTATCGGGAGAGTTTTGCCATTGCCGGCAATGGGGTAGGCGCGGCTTCTGCATGACGCATCCGGCCTGCGGGCTGGCAGTTTGACACCTCTGTTCTATAAGGACTCACGGGCTCAATTTGTAACACCTTACCTAATAAAATATCTGGGAAATATCAATCCTTTTTATGTGCAACTACTATTATCAGATCACTATGAAGTAATTGCTCTGAATGTGGCCAAATTCTGTTATGTTCTATGTAAAATTAGGCAAATTTTAACTGCCCACTGTTAATCCACCACAAATTGCAATATATTATTTTGTCTTGTGTTTTTATTTTTTACTATTATTATTGTTTTTAATGCTGGTCAGTGAGCATAATAAAAATTGATTCATTGATTTTGAATTGTGCTAGAAAAAATTGCTGAAGACATCTTGGACTGCAAAAAATAGATAATGATGTAAAACCAGATTGCTTACTAGAACACAAATAATGAAGTTAAAGCTTAAATACAGATAATGTGCACTTATAAAGTAGAAAAAAGAATCTTTGGAAAAGATCCCAATTCTTGGTGGGGGGAAATCAAAGCAATCAAAGATCGTTTTCTTGTTTCACGACAAACAATTCATCTCGGTCACTGTCATAATTTATCAGCATAATAAGTTTATAACTTAGAAATAATATTCTGACTGTATTTGTGTATCATGCCAATCCATGGTTTGTGTAACTATGATTTAATAAACCAAAAATCAACTAGCACTTCAACTTAAGCACAGATTATGGTTACAAATCATAATGCCAGGGTTTGATGAACTTATTTGTAAGTGGCTGGATGTGCAATCTGTGCAGAACAATGCTATAAACTAGGTCAGAAAGTAATTAACACAATCACATAACTAAGAATCTTCAGAAACTGATGAGCACACAAAACACACAAACAATAAAATTACAAATAAAAACAGTTTATTCAGTGCCTTAGATCACAAAGTTATTTCCACGCAGGCTGCTGGTGACAATCACTGCATTTACATAGCACCACAAGATTGCTTTGGATTAAGAAGTTATCAGCTTAGAACAGGGATCTTCAAACTCAGCCCTTTTATGACTCATGGAGCTGAGGAATTCTGGGAGTTGAAGTTCATGAGTCATAAAGGGGCCGAGTTTGAAGACCCCTGGCTTAGAAAGAGATCAATGCCAAGCCAGAAATACATGGGCACCGATTCAGATCCAATGCAAGTGAATGACGGAGCAGGCAGAAGTTAAAATAAGAATTTTTTTAGTTAAAATAAGAAATGTACTGTTACCTGCAAAGGCCCATCAGAGACATTCTATCTTTTATCAGAGCGGAAGCTTGTAACCGAAAAACGTTTCTGAGTGCTCTTCCAGCACACAAGGCATCCTCTCCATAAATCTAAAGGAAGATAAATTGGACAGACAACAATTTTTGCAATTTAGACAGTTATATGTAGCTTTACAGCTATATAAAATTTGCAAGACGCAGCAAACTAGTACAACACAATTTCATTAACCTTTTAAAGTATGGTTTTAGTTATCAATAAAAATTATATATTAAAATTACATTCCACATGGCAATTATGGGCTCAAAAATAAAGAGCTGTTAATACTGCTGCATTTAAATATAAAATAGCTCAAAACAATGAAGGGATGTGACTAGAGCAGGGGTAGGCAACCTTGGCTCTTTTATGACTCGTGGACGTCAACTCCCAGAATTCCTGAGCCAGCATGGCTGGCTCAGGAATTCTGGGAGTTGACGTCCACGAGTCATAAAAGAGCCAAGATTGCCTACCCCTGGACTAGAGTTTCTATAATAATACAAATAGAAAAACAACAGTAACAATACCTTATTAGGAGGGTTTTCCACATATGGATTTGAAATTCTCCTAGATATAATCTGTAAATAAAAATAAAAAGTATAACAATAAGGAATAATTTAAGGCAACTCAGATAAATAAAAACATTTCTTACAAATCACTTGACACTCTCCTTGATTAGTTTCCATCCATTGCTTCTTCTCCTGCTTTCAGGTGCTTTGGAGAATAGCCTGACTCCCTCTTCTTTGTGGCAAACCGAGATATTGGAAGTGCCTAAGTTGCAATCATATGACTGCAAGGAGGCTGCAAAAGCTTCAACATCAAGGACTGGTCATAAGCCCCCCTCATTTAATGATATTGTAACTTTGAATAATCACTGTAAGTGTAGTCATAAACTAAGGACTACCTGTAATTTGGTTTCCTACATGTATTTAGAATAAAGGAACAGGAAAGGGGGAAATCAAGAGACCCATTTAAAGTAAGTCATAGAGAAGAGTTTGTTCTTGTACATTTCAGTTTGTGTGGATGACTAGAACCTTCTGAAAGACTGATGTCAAATGCCTCACAACTTATTGTTTTCAAAAGAAAAAAAAAACAGTTCCCAAATAAATTGAATGAGGAAGGCGATGGCATTCACGTGAAAACGTGCCATGTAGTATGAGATGAATACCAAGATGATTTTTGGCAAAGTCCTATGATGTTATAAATATCATCTCTGTGACTGTCTGTGTCTGATTATAAAGAGGAACCTCATGGTTTTGAGCTACATTCTATTTATACAATGTAAAGTTAATGTGAAAACAATATAAAAGCCAGTTAGATGACTTTGGGCCACTCTCTTTCAGCCCAACCCACTTAACAGGGGTTGTTATTGTGGGGAAAATAGGAAGAGAAACAAGTATTAAGTATGTTCACAACTTTGAGTTACTTTTGAATTACTAATAAGGGCAGGATAAAAAAATCTAATAAATAAAAAATATATAAATAAAATCCAGATACAGGAATTCTCACTTAATAACTTCTCATTTAGCAACAGTTTCTGAAAAAGTAACTTTATAATCAGTGCTTGCATTTCCAACCCTCCCAGCATCCTTGCAGTGATGTGATCAAGATTCAAGCACTTCACAGCCAATTGGCATTTACGACTGTGACACTGCTCTCCACTGTCACATGATTGCCACTAAGTTGGCAGTAAATTTGCAAGTCCCTATCATATGACATCTCACTTAATGACTGCATTACTTAATAAAGGTTCCAGTTGTAGTTGTTAAGGGAAGACTACCTATAAACAATATTTTTTATTCAATATTGCTTTCTTGATCCAAGATAGTATAGACCAGATATTATTAGGTGCTTTTTACAAAAGTGAGAATAACTTCTTAGATATAATCAATGACCTATTTTCCCATTGATTTCAGTGTGCTAAGGCAATATTATCTTAACCGCAGTATTACCTAAATCAGGAGTCCTCAATCTTGGCAACTTTAAGACTTTGCTGGGTGAGGAATTCTGGGAGTTGAAGTCCACAAGTCTTAAAGTTGCTAAGGTTGAGGACCCTTGACCTAAACCATAAAAGCTGGGTTCATGCATAGTATTAAACCATGTTCAAACCAATATATGCTTAGCTATATATGAAGCTAGCTACTGTTCCTATAGTAACCAACTAGTATTTCTGGGAAGACCATAAGCTGGAACTTTTTTTATTTTATCAAACTGACATGAAAACACTAGCCTTCACTGTGTCACTTCCAACAACCAGCCTCAATGGCTCATTTTCTTTGAACATACAAACTGTACAGCGACTACCAGAAAATCTTTCATAGATCTGTCTAAAGAACAGTTATCCTCTTTAGTGTACTCTATCATGCCTATTCCAGCACTCTAAGAGAGTTAACTTGGCTACTTTAACTAGATACTTATTTGATTAGGATAGTCTCCTGGGGATCATACTTACTATTAAGACATAAACCATATTTGGCAACTAGTGGCTGGATTTACACACTATGCTTGGGTGTAACCAAGCCAATTTTTATTTAACATAATATATAAATGTGATTAATTTATGTATCACTAAGGAAGTATGCCTGCAGCTCTGCACTAGAACTCCTTTATGCCAAAGAATTTAATCATTTGACCAATCTCCATGCTATGTTACAACCACTGTGATTTAGATTGTCCAAATATCAAATATGGTATTTCCCTTAACTTCCCAATGAAGGTTCTGGGTGAAACTGGTACAAAAGCAGAGGGACTATTTAAGAAAATATCTCTGCAGAAGACCATGTGTAAATTCCAGGTGAAGTATCCATTTCTGAGCATTTTAAAGTATTTTTAGACATAGTTTATAGCTCTTAGACTTTTAAAATGCCAAGTATGTTGAGATAATAACTTAGATAATACCTATCCGAGCTTCTGGGGGAATGGCTACATGGAAATGTAATATAGTCAAAAGTCTCCCAGGGAAAGAAGAAGTGGCAGCATGTGATAATTGATCTTGTAGTAAATCCCATAGACAATAGTCACCGCCAGAAAGAGAATACAAAAAGCAAAAGAAGGAAAAATCAATCAATTTGTACTTTTTTGGTTCTTATGACACCAACAATTATGAATATGAATGAAAGCAGCACAGGTATTAAATGTTAAGCCCCAGCTTATCAAGTATGGTGTACTGAACCACATTGGATTGGATTCAAATGAAAAGATAAACCTAAACCAAACAAACCATTTATGGCTTGGTGCAATATATAAATCTATCTACTAACTACAGCAATTCCCACATTTATATGCAAGAACTTTTCAACACTTACTTGGAGATATCAGAAGTTGAACGTGTGACTTACTATCATTATGCCTTCTAAAAACAGACAAAAATTAGGTAAATTAAAACCATTCTATTAATCTTTGGAAATTAGAAAAATGTGATTTTGGGGGAAGGAATGAGGATTTTTGTTCCCAATTACTTTAAAAATGTTTAAAAATTCACAAGATTATTCAAAATGTGTTTCATTTGACTAAAACACTTAATACTCCAAAAAGGGATATCATCTAGGGAAGACAAGGATGGAAATAATTTCTCTTCATTATTTTATTTCAGGTTTCATTCATAGTATTTTGATCAAGAAATATGATGATGATGATGATGATGATGATGATGATGATGATGATGATGATGATGATGTTGTTGTTGTTGTTGTTGTGATGGCTTAGTAGGGAAGAAGTTAAACATAAAGGCAATGAAGCAAAAGAGATCAAAAGAAATCTAGATATGTTACTGATCTATGGTTTCTCCTTGAAGTATACTATCAAAAATTTTCTTACTATATGCTGCAGACTAATAAAAATGTAAATCCGAATCACTTTTCTATGTAAATTATAAAATTAGTATAGAAAAAAAATCATGTAAAATAATTTATCAGGAAACTAAATGCGCCTGTTGTTACTTAATATGGTTCTGGCATATTTTAATAACAATGGTATATTTTTAATAACAATGAATTGCTATGTTTTGTTATTTAATACATGTTCAATTTTGCAGTCCACTTGTACTATAAGATCTACTTCCTTCAATCTTCCTAACAATTTAGAAATAGATTGGCATTTCCACATACTTACTGGGTCATGGTTGATTAAAAGCTATTCTTATTATATTATCTCTAGAAATGTATTAATGAAAATATTTCGGATAATAGTTAGAAATGGAGCTAGAGAACAAATCACACAAAAAAAATCTACATGTGTCCTTTAATTTATGTAGGCTGATAGTTTATCGATGAAAATCTCAACCCAAGTAAAAGCAAGGGCTGAATGAAATTCCCAATGAACAACATTAAATCACTATTCTGTCTTGTTTTGAAATGAAAGCTTGATGAGCTCTGAAGTATGGAGCTGTATGTTTATTCATTTGATTTATCTCATTGTATGGATGGCTCATTATTTGCAGATTAATTAAAAGAGACAGAACATCCATATTCATATATCCACATGTATGTGCACAAAAAGGCAAAGATGCTATTGCATATAGTTAGAATATTTAAAGGTTAGGTATAATACAAGTGAAAAAATCATTTGTGGCAAATCTTATTGGATCATTCCAGCTGCAAGCTCCAAGTTATTTCCTCTCAGCAGAACACCTTTAGAACAGTTTCTCAGCAGGTGAAAAAAGAAGTTGCTCTACTTAGGTTATGTGGCCATGCAATTAAGTGCCCCCCTACCAAAATTGTGAAAGAACTGCATAATGACTGGACCTGCACCATCAGCCATTCACTTCAGAAAACATTGAGGGGATAAGACAAAGTCCAAGATGTTAATAAGGTCCAATCACAACAGAAGGATAATAAATACTGCTACACTATTCAAATGACCTCAGTGGAATGGAGGAAAAACTTTCAGAAGAAAACAACAACATTTTCTGTGGTTTCGTTACCTATTAGTTTTGCCTAGCATGGATTTCTCTTGAATAATAATGGTCACCTGTACTGATACTTCATGTTACTCCCTTCACTTTCCTCTTCTATTTGTTTCATGCTTAATACAATACACATGCTATTGTATTATATATTGTATATTACTATATTACCCTGATCTGGTTACGGGTTCACATGATTAAGGATCTATTTTAATTTAATAAAACAAAATTAAGAAATGCATATAAAAAGGAAGCACATAACTGTTGTCATTTTTCTACTATGCATAATAGTAGACACAACCATGAAAAAATTCAGCATTGATGAATATCTCTGAAGACCTCTCTTATTTCCCCCCCAGAAAACAGCATTAAGAGATGTTGGTTATGTCCCATTCAGTTGGTACTATTAGGAACCACATAGACAGACCTTCTTCAGTCTGTCCTTCTCCAGTTTTGTGCCCAATCTGGCCCTCCAAATTCTTCAACACTGCACCCATTGCCTCTGGGAATCAAATCCATCTACATTAGTGCAGATCATCTTCCTTTCACCTTCCTCAGTATTATAGACTTATCAAGACAGCTAGTGTTCACATAATGTGTCAAAAAATATAATTTGAGCCTGCTCATTTGTGTCTTGAGTGAGAACTCTGTATTGATTTGTTAGATGATCCTTTG